CATCTTGGTGGCGTGTGAAGAGGAGGCCATAGGGAAGGTAGCATAAATCCTCTTTTTTTTTTTCCCCTACAGCGTAACAATAAAGTTGCTGGAAATCCTTGCCCCATCTGCCGGGATCACAAGTTGCATGTTGACTTTAGGGTAAGGAGAATCTTTTATCCAGAATTAGAATCTGTGGCCCCCTTTATGGTGCTAAAGAGATTGTCAGAGGTGTCTCAGTCTTCCATATTCCTGCACCCATACAGTCCTCTTTTTCTTTTTCTTTTTCTTTTTCTTTTTTTTTGGTTTTTCGAGACAGGGTTTCTCTGTGTAGCCCTGGCTGTCCTGGAACTCACTCTGTAGACCAGGCTGGCCTTGAACTCAGAAATCCGCCTGCCTCTGCCTCCCAAGTGCTGGGATTAAAGGCGTGCGCCACCACCGCCCGGCACAGTCCTGTTTTTCAATGGATTGCCATTGTGAAAACACCCCCTTTTGAGCTGGATTTGGTGGCACACACCTTTAATCCCAGCAGGAAGGAGGCAGATTTCTGAGTTTAAACTCCGCCTGGTGTACAGAACAAGTTTCAGGTTCTTCAGAGAGAAACCCATCTTGAAAAACAAAGACAATACAGATTTAAAAGCGGGCTTGGTTAACATCTGTGATCGCACACTTCGCGGGTGAAGCATAAGTGTAAGTTCCAAGTTCCAGGCCTTACCACAAACCTGCACTATGTATTACAGAAGGAAGGGAAAGAAAGGTCTGTGAGGATGACGCTCATAGACAACTGAGAAGGTAGGACGCGACAGTCTAAGTAGCCCAAGGAGCTTCAGACTCGGATGCAGCTGAACTGAGATCACACCTGGTCAAAGGTTAAATTTTTTTTTTTTTAAGACTAGATTTACTAAGGAAAAACTTCCAAAGACAGGAAGGGTTCAAGGAAAGGGACCCTATATATCTGTTAATTCATTAGCAAATGATACTGTCGTGTCTGGGTGGGCAGAAGCCTCCATCCATTTTCCTCTTGTGAGACAGGATGTTTTATGTAGCCCACGCTGACCTCAGCTCACTGTCCAGTCTTGGCAGGCTCAGTCCTGAGAGCTGAGGTGTGTACCGCCCTGCTTACTTGTCCGTATTTCCTGTCCTCCCAGTGTCCAGTGAGATGCTGGGACCTGGGGCTAGAGGACAGATAAGAGGGAAGTCACAGAGTACAGCAGGTCCCGTCCCTAGGAAGTCACAGTATAGTAGGTCCCCCCCCCCCACCTCCCAAAGCCTTCAAAATGATGAGCCTGGCGTCTAAGTGAATACAAAGATCATAAAGACACTCAGAGGAGCCAAAGCTGTGGCTGTGCATCAAGGAAGCGGGCATACCGCGTGTCCGAATGCTAACGAGGGCGCTCACCCTTCATCACATCATAGAAGGACCACCATGCCTTCCCAGTCTCTGTGCACGGGGCAGGTGGGTGAAGAAGTAACAACCAGTTCTGTAACTCACAGATGTATCTTTCTTCTCTGCTCACTCACCTCCTGTGATTGGTATGTCTGGTGGTTGTACATAATTAGAACTGTTGAATTGCTCTTAGTTATGTACTGTATTTTACCATTATTGTATGGTAAAATTTTTGTCTATTGCATTACTTACGGTAAAATTATTGTCTATTGTATTACTTATTACATGGGTGTCATTTCTGGGTAATTTCTAGATCTTGCTGCCCATCCCCAATTTTTGCCCAAAGGTGGACTATTAGGAACATGGCTTCTCCATAACTCCATGGCAGAGTATAGGATGTATACATGAAATGAATTGGTGAGAGAGACGTAGAGCAATAAAGAGCAGCTATGAGGGTATTGTTGATTTTGTTTTGTTTTTTTTTTTGTTTTTGGGTTTTTGTTTTTGTTGTTGTTGTTGTTGCTGTTGCTGTTGTTGTTGCGGTTTTGAGACAAGATTCTCTCTGGAATTCACTCTACTCAAAAAGCCTAGATCCACTAGCCTCTGCCTCCCTAGCACTGGTATCAAAGGTGTGCACCACCACTCTCTAGCTCTTGGTGTTTCTTTTGCTGGGTTTTTCTCCTCTCCACGTGGGGTAGCACTTTTGCCGGCCTTGATCTCAAAGATAATCCACTTTGCTTCTGCCTCCTAAATGTTGGGATTACACCTAACAAAATGTAGCCGAGGTTGGCTCTAAACTCATCATTCTTCTGTGTTCCCCTTTTCATCAAGTTCTTACAGGGTGTGTTACCACAAAGGGCTTTGTCGGTGTAAGGTGTACACAATCAGCCTGTAGAGTTCTTGACCACCCCCCTTGCATATTTGTTTATCCCTCTCCTGCAGAATGTGAAGCTCTTGGAACAGTTTGTGTGTGCCCACACAGGTATCATCTTCCACGCCCCGTACACAGGTTAGCTTGACATTCCTGTTACTACCTCTATAGTTTTTCCTTGGAGCACTCCTGGTTATGGTGTTGGGTGGTAGATGTTTGTTTGATAGCTCCTGTAAATAGCAGACAGAAGTTTTTGTTTAATGAGGATACTCATTACCATAAAACAGTTAAATGTTGTAGACAAAAAGACTAAAGTTTTAGAGCTTCCCTGTAGGAGGAAGGGCTATCTAAATGTGCTTTAAAAGGTAAACCATGCCTTAAACTGTGAGTTTGAGGTCAGCCTGGTCCACATAGTGAGTTCCAAGACAGAAAAAGCTACATAGACTCCAGGTCAACTTAAAAAAAAAAATTAAACAGCTTGCTTGTTGGTAAAGCTTTCCACCTATCATTCTAAACTTTTCAATGCTGCTGGCACTTCAGTTTCCCAAATTTAAAACTAAGTTTAACAGTTCAGGATTTTCTGTTTCTTCCCCTCAGTGGCCTGTGGCCATGACAGTTTCTCATGTGGGGTACAGCTGCTTCAAGCAGCAGTAGCAGAGCCAGGGGTCATATGTTATACACAGAAAGGACCTATAGAGCAAGGATAATCTGAACTTACTCTTTATGTGAGGGCCATGGCCCTGTGATCTGTTCCTTTTGTCAGAAAGGTTTTTTGTTGTCAGCTTCCACAGTGGAGCCGGGAATAATTATTGCTACTCTGTCACATTCCATAATTTGAAATCACTTCTTACAAGATCTTTCTCTGTGGATTTTCCAAGTCAGCCTTTAGCCACACGTGTCATCGAATCATCATCTGGCCCATCTGTAGGCTCTAGCATTCAATGACATTGTGGCTAGACATCCAGGCAAATAAGGGTCAGGGGCATGGGTCGTTAGGTAAAGCCAGGTTCTCCACAGTCTGCTGTCACTGTGTAGAAAGCTTACTGCTCTGTGGGATGCCGTCCAAGTTCATTTTCTCTCTGTAGGGGTCTGTATGAAGCAACACAAGAAGCTGACCCAGGCCATCCAGAAAGCCAGGGAGTGTGGTAAGTGAGAGCAAGGGGCAAGGTTTTCTGAGATGTAGCAAAGGGACCCGGGCGGAAAGGTGCAGCACGTGGACCATGTCTGTGAGAAAGTCCTCTGCATACGCATAGACTGTTTTCCAAGTTGGATGAGTTTCTGGACTCTAAAGTAACAACTGCAAATTCCAGGCTATTAGAAGTATGCATGGAGATGATCTTTCTTTTTTCTTTTTTTTTTTTTTCTTTTTGGTTTTTTCGAGACAGGGTTTCTCTGTGTAGCCCTGGCTGTCCTGGAACTCACTCTGTAGACCAGGCTAGCCTCGAACTCTCGAACTCAGAAATCCGCCTGCTTCTGCCTCCCAAGTGCTGGGATTAAAGGCGTGTGCCACCACTGCCCGGCTGGAGATGATCTTTCAAGAAACACGAGGAAGAGACATTTCTTTCTTCAGTCTACTCTCTCCTGAATCTTGACAGTCTTGTGTGTTCTGCCCTCTGTAGCCTTCTGACTTGGCTTACACAGCGCCTTAGAGATGAGTGAAGGGAGAACCCACGCCGAGTCCTGCCGGTTCTTTGTCCCCTTGGTGGGCTGTGTGCAGTGTATGAGCTGCCGAAATGTGCTTGGTGGTCCCTAATCGGTCCCTCCATTTGTAGTGCCTTTTTCTTGTCTCTGAGTCTGACCTGACCTTCCTCATCCAACATTATTCCCTTTAACCCCTTAGGTCTTCTCAGTTACTACGTTCCCCAGGTTGAGCCCCGAGATGCTGACTTTCGCACTGTGCATGGAGCTGTCAGTGTGACTCCACCAGCCCCCACATTGTTATCAGGTGAACCTTGGTACCCGTGGTACAGCTGGCAACAGCCACCGGAGAGAGAACTGTCTCGTCTTCGCCGACTCTATCAAGGAAATCTCCTAGAAGAAAGTGGCCCACCACCTGAGTCAATGCCTGAGATGCCCACTACACCACCAGCAGAAGCCTCCACTGAGCAGACCAGCTCCCAGACTGCTTAGAACTCACGACCTGGGGAAGTCAGACTGAAGGAGTGCTGTCTAGGGCTGTACGGTGGCGAGTGTTCTCGAAAAGGTTCTGTTTTGTGTCAGTGGCAGACCCTCAAAGGAAATGACTGTTGTGAGGAGGACAAGCACATTTGAAGTTGAGGAGAATCTAGATGTATATGGATAACTCTGGCGAGGGCTTACATATGAACTGGAGACCTGTGTGTGCGCGTGATAGTGTGTCCCTGATTTAAACCCACTGGCCCAGCTTCTATCCAATAAAGCTTGTCTCCTCACCCGTTCCTGACTTCCTGTGGGCTGTTTAAAAGATGGGTATGAAGTCTATGAGATGGGGTGCAGCTGTGGGGTGGGAGTGTGGTCTACCTGCTAATGCGGCAGCTCCACCTAGGAAAGGGTGTGTGACAGGCTCTTCTGGAGGTTCCCTCAGCTGTTCACTGTGAGGGCGGGATCTTGGTTGCCATGGCACCACAGGGGCACAGACCTACAAAAGAAGTCCTGTTGCTAGAGAACAGCTGGCTTAGCAAGAAAAATGGGGTTTCCGCGGCACTGGACTCCACGGTGGGGGCGGGGCGGACCCTCGGGGCGGGTCTTGGAAATAAAGGTTTACCGGCCCTGGTAGCGGAAGTGACGTTTTGTGGGGCGTGTCGGATCCCGCACAATGGGCCATGGAGTTCCCGTTCGATGTGGATGCGCTGTTCCCGGAGCGGATCACCGTGCTGGACCAGCACCTGAAGCCTCCGGCCCGCCGACCCGGAACCACAACGCCGGCCCGGTGACATTTCAAACCCAACCCATGGCCCTTCTGTCCCGGTTCCTCTCCAAACCTGATCCAGGAACCACGCCCCCTTCTCACTGACTACTGGCCATTTTTTTTTCTGCGGTCTTACATGGTTTTTGGTGACCTTTGACCCTGGATCTAGCTGGGTTAATCGGCCTACATCTGTAATCTTTTGGCCTAATGTGGCCTCAACAAGAGGCTATAGTCGACCCTCCCTTTCCTACTGCCTCACAGTAACCTTAACATGGGGGCTGTGAAACCAAAGTTTGGGATCTGGAGGGGTGAGGTGGGAGGTGAGGAAGAGTTCCAAGCAAAGTCAGAGACCCCGTGGAGGAGCCTGGGTGGGAGCCAAGCAAGCTGCCAGGAATGACTTCCGGGATGCTGTAACCCAGCGAGTGTCTGACCGGCCCCTCTCTCTGTAGTGTGGATCTGCAGCAGCAAATCATGACTATTGTAGATGAGCTGGGCAAGGCTTCTGCCAAGGTACGGGGCACCTCTAGGAGGCGGAAAGGGAAACGGGTGGCAGATAAGGAGCCATACAAAGTATGTCTTCATCTCTGCAGGCGCAGCACCTCCCTGCACCCATCACCAGCGCAATGAGGATGCAGAGCAATCGCCACGTTATTTATATACTAAAGGACACCTCAGCCCGACCGTGAGTCTTACCGTTATTCTTCCATGTGACTCCAACTCATCCTTAGTTGTCCTTTCTCTCCCTGACAGTTGCTCCTGCCTGGTTCATTTTTTTCCCCATCCCACAGGGCAGGGAAAGGAGCCATCATTGGTTTCCTCAAAGTTGGATACAAGAAGCTCTTTGTACTGGTGAGTGTTATTGCAAACTAGACATTTGTAAACTTTGGTGCCAGAGAAGAAATGGGAGTGGGGGTGTGAGAAAACGAAGATTTATGCCTCCTAACAAGGTACGTGTTGTTCTTGACCTCATAGGATGACCGTGAGGCTCACAATGAGGTAGAACCGCTTTGTATTCTGGACTTTTACATCCACGAGTCAGTGCAACGGCATGGCCACGGGCGAGAACTTTTTCAGTATATGTTACAGGTACCGAACAATCTTTACCAGCTACTCAAAACAGATCTAAAAGGCTCTTCACCCCAAAGCTCTAAGAGGTCCTGCTCTATGGCCCAAAGTTGGTTCCCTTGCCAGGTGCCCAGTGTCCTGTTAGCATGCTTCTCCCATTACCGCCTGCCCCTAAGTTTTCGGTTTTCCTGCAGAAAGAGCGAGTGGAACCACACCAACTGGCCATCGATCGACCGTCACCAAAGCTGCTCAAATTCCTGAACAAGCACTACAACCTGGAGACCACAGTCCCACAGGTTAGAGGCTCCCTCATCTCAGCAATCATTCCTATCAGATTGATCGATCTCTTTGTGGTACCAGGGATCAGAGCTAGGGCATGGGGCACGATGCGTGTGTATTCTGCCACTTTTCTCCCAGCCTCTCTTAAAAAAAAATCTTACATTTGTTTACTTACTGAGTGCATTCCAGTTCATTCGTGGAGGTGAAAGACACATGAGAATCAGTTTGGTCCTTCTACCATATGGGTTCTGAGAGCTGAAGTAAGGGTTATTTAGGGTTTTACTGCTGTGAACAGACACCGTGACCAAGGCAAGTCTTATAAAGGACAACATTTAATTGGGGTTGGCTTACGGGATCAGAGGTTCAATCCATTATCATCAAAGCAGGAACATAGCAGCATCCAGGCAGGCATGGTGCAGGAGGACTTTAGAGTTCTACATCTTCATCTGAAGGCTGCTAACAGAATACTGACTTCCAGGCAGCCAGGATGAGGTCTTAAAGCCTACACCCGCAGAAGGCCACACCTCTAAGTAGTGCCACTCCCTGGGCCAAGCATATTCAAACCATGACAGTCAGCAAGTACTAACCCTGGAGACATCTGTCTAGTCCTACCTTGGTTTGTTTTGATGTTGTCTTAGACTTACCTCATTTTACGTGGGTGAATGCTTTGCTCACTTGTATATCTGTGAACCATATTCATGCCTGTGCACACAGGTCAGAAGGGGGTGTCAGAACATTGGAACTGGAGTTACAGATTTTTATGAGCCACCAAGTGGGTGCTGGGGACTGGATCTTCGTCTTCAAGAGCAACCAAGTGCTCTAAGCTTCTACGCCATCTCTCCAGCCTCTGGTTTTTGTTTGTTTGTTTTTTTTTTTTTTTCAAATAAAGTCTCACTGGTTACCCCAGCTGTCCCAGAACTCACCTTGTAGATCAGGTTGGCCTTGAACGCACAGAGATCCACCTACTTCTACCTCTAGAGTGCTAGGATTGAAGGGATGCACCACCACCTCAGCTATATTTTTTTATGAGGACTTTATACGTGAGCTCTGTATTGACAGCACTCCTGTCCCTCTCTCTCCCCCTTAAATCCCTCCCTTGTCCCCCTCTCCCAAACTATTGTTTGTTTATTATTGTTACATGTACACAGGCAATATAGATAGGCACAGATGTAGATGTAAGACCTACTGAGTCCTTTTAGCTTTATATGTACCTGTCTCCAGGGCTCCACTGTGGGTTTTGTTGATGGTGGTGGTGGTTTTTGTTTTTTAGGATTTATTTATTTTATGTATGAGTACTCTATCTGCATGTACTGTACACCTACATGCCAGAAGAGGGCATCAGATCACATCATATAGTTATGAGTCACCATGTGGTTGCTGGGAATTGAACTCAGGACCTCTGGAAGAACCGTGCTCTTAACCACTGAGCCATCTCTCCAGCCCCCACGGTGGGTTTTTGAAACAGAATCTCACTGTATAGCTCAGGCTGGCCTTGAACACATAGTGACGCTCCATCTCCACCTCCTGAATAATGGGGTCACAGGTATGCCTTGATGCCCAGCTGTTCTGTGTTTGAAAGACGTTTGCTATGTACCTAACCCTGCCCTCCTCAAACGGATAATCCTCCTGCCTCAGCCTCCCAAGAACTAAGATTAGGTCATAATGTCCGGAGTGATTTATTTTTGCAACTAAATCTTTTTTTCTCGTTACCTGTTACATATTCTAGAAGCATTCATCCTGCCATTGGGGGAGGGGGGTTTGCTTGTTCGCTTGCTTTTTGAGGCACAGTCTCACTCTAGCTCTGGCTGTCCTGAAACTCACTAAGTAGATCAGCTGGCTTCAGACTCTCAGAGATCTGCCTGCCTTTGCTCAGGGTACTGGGACTGAAAGCGAGCACCACCTAGGGCAGCTTTGTTGTGAGAGACTTTCATTGTGTAGTGCTATCTGGCCTAAAACACAGAGATCCACCCATCTCTGCTCCACCACAGACAGTCTTAGGGGATTTTTGTTTGTTTTTAGAGAGGATCTCATTCTTCAGCCCAGCTGACCTGAGACTCCCAGTTGTAACCTGGGATGGCCTCAGATTCACAGTAACCCAACTGCCCCAGACTCCTGACTGCTGAGATTATCATGCCTAGCTGTTATTTTTATTTCTTTTTATAAGTTACACACTCTTTGTTTATACATACATGAGTGTGCCTGTGTGTGTGTGTGTGTGTGTGTGTGTGTGTGTGTGTGTGTGTGACAGTATATCACTGTGTAGGCCTGGCTGACCTGGAAATGATGTGCAGACCACCAGGCCTCCTCGGCATGAGTCACCACAGCCTGTCTTTGTTTCTATAACTCCACGTGAACTTTAAGACCAGCTTATTAGGGTCAGGGGTTTTGAGCGATGTCCCCAGGAACAGTCTGGCTTTTGTTCTTTCCATTGTGGGCTCTGTTTGCTTTTCTCTATACTTTTTATAAAGAGGTAGTGTGGTATATGCCTTTAGTCTCAGCACTAGAGAGGCAGAGGCAAGCAGATCTCTGATGTAAGTTCAAGGCCAGCCTGGTCTACAGCCAGAACCACAGAGATATCCAGTTGTAAAAAAACAAATAAATGTGTGTATATATATATATGTATGTGTGTGTAATATATATATATATATATTACACACACACACATTTCACACCCACCACCACCTGGCTAGATTTATTTTATGATCTTATGTGTATAAATATTTTGCCTGCATGAACATATGTGCACTACGGGTATGCCTAGGTATCTGTGAGGTCAGAAAAGGGTGTTGGATCCTTTGAGACTGGAGTTAACAGATGGCCATGAGCCATCTTATAGGTATTTGGAGTTAAACCAGAGCCTTCTGCAAGAGAAGCAAGGGTTCTTAACCACTGAACCATCTCTCCAGCCTCCAGTGTTTTGATCTTGGGGCAGGGTCTCATGTAGCCCAGGCTGGCCTCTGGCTCTCTGTGTAGCTGGGGTGACCTTGAACTCCTGGTCCTCTTCCCTTTCCCCTCCTTGTGTTAGGATTTCAGTCATATGCCACTGTACCCAATGTATGTGGTGCTGAGGCTTGAACCCAGCGCTTCATGTGTGGTAGGCAGCATTCTACCAACTGAGCCACACCGACACCCACGCCTATGGGCTTTCTGGCACGGGTTCTGTTCCCACTGTGTGCTAAGACTGAATGGACAGTGGGCTTTGTCTGCTGCTTCTTCCAGGTGAACAACTTTGTGATCTTCGAAGGCTTCTTTGCCCATCAGCACCGTAAGTTTCCTTACCTTGTGTCGGCCTAGTAGTTATGGAAAGGGAAAGGAAAGAGGTGGGCTCTTGGTTCCACAGGCCCCCACTGAGGGCCACCACCTCTTCCTTCCTCACAGGGCCCCCCACTCCCTCTCTGAGGGCAACTCGACACTCTCGTGCTGCCGTGGCCGACCCCATACCCGCTGGTAAAGCCTGCAAGGACTGGGTGGAATTGAAGGGCAGTGAGGCCTAGTTCCTCAGGAGGTTCTGGGGTGGACAGTGCTACCTGCTGGCAATTCAGAACACCCTAAAGCTACCCATCCATGCACCAGTGCTCTGGTTGCCCTGGCCCTGCTGGGAGCATTTTATACTTGGGAAGAACTCAGCTTCTGCTAATGCTGAAGCCCACGCTCTAACCACACCGCCCTGCTCCAGAGGACACCCAGCCCTGTTGTCTACAGCGGTTCTCATAAGCAAGCCCTCGAGAGCCTGACTGGCCACTGATGTCAGCAGAGCCTCTGCGCTAGGTCAGCTCCCTCAGAACAGGCCACAGTCAAATTGTTGTGAATTCCTCAGGCTCTGTCATCCAGGGAGGGACAGGCAAGCGAGCCCAGAGGTCCTTTCATTTCTATTCATGGGATAGCAATGTGAATAGTCCAGTCTGTATACTTGTCTTAAAAGAGAATGCTCAAAATGTATAACATTTTTACGTGGCACGGTGACACATGCCGTTGATTGCAGCACTCAAGAAGCCAAGGTAGGTGGAGCTCTATGAGTTTGAAGCCAGCCTAGTCTGCACAGCAAGCATTACGCCAGCCAAGGCTACATATGGGATCTTGCCTTAAAAGAATTTTTTTTTCAAGAATAATCAAACCCATTTTGATTTAAACTCACAGGCTGGCCAGGTGTGGTATCCAGTACTTGAGACAGGAGAATGTCTGATTTTGAGGCCAGCCTGATCTACAGAATGAATTCCAATCTTGAAAAACCAGAGAAAGAGAGAGAGAAAGAGAGAGAGAGAGAGAAGAGGAGAGGAGAGAAGAGAAGAAAAGAAAAGAAAACCTCACAGGCTGCCAAGCTCCCTTCCCTCCCCAGTATGTTCTCAGGGAGAGAGGCATAGCCTTTACCAGCTGTGTGGTGCTCGCTGGTATAGAATGGTTAGCTTTGTGGCTGGTTACCTACCTGTTGGCCAAGAAAAGTAGTGGCAGTTGCCCAGAGAACAACTCATGGCTCTTCAGTGGCATCAGCAGAGGCTCCCAGGGGCCCACCATGTCTATGACCCGTGACGGTTACCGCAGTTCTGAGGCTACAGTCCAGCAGGCAGTGAGGTCGTGCCACCATCTGGCATGGACGCCAGGGTGCCCTTGAACTTAAAGAGGTCCGCCTGCCTCTTCCTCTCAAGTGCTGGGATTAAAGGCCTGTGCTACTATGGCTGGCTCCTTGTTCTTTTGAGACAAGGTCTCACTATGTAACTCTGTCCTTGAACTATGTTGATCCAGCCTGTCCCCACCTTTCCAGTGCAGAGACTAAAGGCATGTGTCATCACTTTGAACTTCCTCATTTCTATTAGTATTTTAAAACCTAATTAAAACTTAGAATTTCCATATCTTTTTATACAGGAAGGAGAGGTTCTGTAGCTCCTCTCCCCTCCCCTAAACAATTCCCAATTAACCAAGGGCTTTGTCCATCTCATCTAGAGGGACCCAGGGTCCTCACTGGCCCAGCTGGGACTATTCCACTGCCCCAGAACCCCAGGGGGGCCTGACAACACCCATGGACAGTAAGAGCTCACCTCCCCTTGGCCATCCTTTCCTGCATCTCCCAGGCCCCAATCTCCCCTGGATCTTTCTCCTGAAACGCGTGTGTTTGGCCTACTCCTTCTGGCTCTCCCCAAAAGTGCTCCAACATTCTCCCCAAACTCCCCTTGGTGTGCTGGCTTTGCCACAGCACGGCTTCTGTACTGGCATTCCCAGGAGGAGCTGTGGTGTCAGGGAGCAGAAGCTTGGGATTGTGGGAAAGTGGCAGGGAGGAGGGATGGACAGTGCATCTCCTAAAAACGTTCTTGTGTCCCCACTACCACCAGCTCCAGCACGGAAGCTGCCACCAAAAAGAGCAGAGGGAGACATTAAGCCATACTCCTCCAGTGACAGAGAATGTAAGGGACTTGAGGGTGGCTGGGGGCAGGGTGGTCGGGGGAGGGTAGCTGGGCATAAGGACCCAGGGAGAGGGGTTAAGGGAAGGTAACAACCAAGGGACAGTAACGAAAGTCTACAGTTGGTTTCTGCCTAGTCTTTATTATTGTGACTCTCTTTTCCCGTTCTCTCTCACACCCTCTTTGTTCCTCCTTTCCCTAGTCCTGAAGGAGGCTGTGGAGCCTCCTTGGCCCCTGAACAGGGCCCCTCGGCGTGCCACACCTCCAGCCCACCCACCCCCACGTTCTAGCAGCCTGGGCAACTCGCCGGATCGGGGTCCCCTTCGGCCCTTTGTGCCAGAGCAGGAGCTGCTTCGCTCTCTGCGTCTCTGTCCCCCACACCCCACTGCACGCCTTCTGCTGGCCACGGACCCTGGAGGCAGCCCAGCCCAGCGCAGACGCACCAGGTAATAAAGGTCTACACGTTTGGGCGCCTCTGGATGTGGAGAAGTTAGCAGTGGTGAAGAATAAGGCGAATCTCCCACAAACGTGAAACCATGAAATCTTTACCAAAGCTTAAATTTCTGCAGCACTGATCTGGAAGGACCTGGGCGGGGGGCGGGGGAGGACCTTTATATGGAGCCATGGACCAGAGTGATATTTTGAGTGTCATTGAAAGAGTAGGAAGACTTAGAGATCCATTGGTGGGGGCCTTGAGCCTTTCAAGACTAGGGGAAGCTTGGTTAACATCTGCTGGGGATAGGCAGGTGTCTGGGGATAGGCATGTATCTCACAGATTGGAAGCCAGTGGGTTCCAAGGCCCTTCCAGGTAGGCAGGGAGTGGGTGCCTCCTTTATTTCTCCTCTTAGCTTCCTCTTCACCTCTGACTTCTGTTTTTCTCTCTCCCCTACCTTCCCTCTCCCCTTCTCCTGTCCATAACACCCCTCTACAGCTCCCTTCCCCGATCTGATGAGAGCCGGTACTGACAGGGAACCTGGGAGGGCAGACACACTCCCTCCTACAACCTGCAACCCACTCTTCCATCAAGATTCTTTCTTCCTCTTTCTTGAACAACTGGGTTGCCAGGGTTCTAAATAGCCTAATACTTTGTAGCTTTTCTTACCACAGAAGATACCCCTGTACTCCCAACCTGTGCTATGAATACTCTCCCACAGACAGGCTGTTGTGTTCCCAGATCTCTTGGGCTAAATGGCTCCTACTGACTCCCTAGAGAAGCACACTCTGCTTGCTTATGGTCAGACTCCAGACCACCAGAGGTCCACGGACCTCCTCTGCCAGGGAAACTTTTAAGGAGTATCTTGCCAATGGATTAATTCCTTCCACAGTGTCCACTAGTAGCTCTAATCCTGCGTCCTCCTGCCAAACAAACCCGCCCTTTTAGTCTGATAACTCCAGCCGGCGAGCAAGCTGCTTCAGAGCATTTCATGCTGGTAGGACCAGGGTGCGGTTCCCAACAGGGTCCTCCCAATATTGCCAAACTCTTACTTTCCAAGTGTTATGTAGATATGTCAGACTGCTGTTGCTCTGCGGGGTCTCTTCAGGAGATGCACAGATTCCATCACTTTCTTCAGATAAGCTGAGTCTGTCTCTTGGCAGTAGATCTCGGAAAACACTCCAGGACCACTTAGTTGTGTCTCTGAAGATAAGCCTGGACCCTTAGATCCTGGAATCCCCCCTGACCTCCCTAGTAAATACACTTGTGAGATTGTCCGGGATGAGATGGGGCTCACCCTTGTGCTGCCCCGCCTTCTTTTTCCTTCATAGCAAGAGTCTCCTTCCCTACTCCATGCCCAGGTATAGAAGGACCCTTCTTCCCCACCCCTAACCCCCGCCCTCTAAATGTGTTAGATCAGGTGCCTCACTGTGTCCCTGAAGTCCTTGGGAGCAGGACCTCCCTCCTCCCTTACTCCTTACCTAATTCCTTTTCCCTCTCAGTGTTGTCTCAATAAAGTGTGGGTTCTTCTGTGTTTTCTAAATTGACATTTTCAGCGAAAAACATCTTAAGGTTTCCGCTTCGTCTGTGCTTCACGCTCTTCCTGGGGTCTCAGCACTCTCTATCCCTCTTAATCTTCAGTTCTGAGATCTGCGGCAGAGCTCAAAGCCCCAGACCCCCTTCTGAGTCTCTGCCTTTCCCCATACTTCCTGCTGGTTCTATTCCAGAATTGCAGTAACTCCATGTAGACCTCGCTACTAACTTGGGAAACTTAGGTCCCCGACCCCCAGTAACATCTATCTCCTTCCCTGGCCGACCTTGATAAGGTGTGGATTTGCTGGGAGCTTGGGTTCACTAGTCTCAGGACTGTTTCTGGATCCCTCTCCTACTCTCTGACCTCCTGTCTGCACCACAAACCCCACAGTGCTCTCAAGACAAGTCCTGCCTACATCAAGAATTCTCACAGGGTACTTACTGGGCACGGTAGCACATGCCTTTAATCCCAGCCCTTGGGAGGCAGAGGTAGGCAGATCCTGGTAAGAGTTTGAAGCCAGCCTACATAGCAAGTTGCAGTCCAGCCAAGGCTACAGAGTGAAAGCCTGCCAATAATAATAATAATAGTCCAACAGGGCCAATCATCTCTAAAGACTACCCTTTCTTCCTTAGTAGTGTGGCCTGAGATTTCTTATATTTAAAAGAATCATATTAAGGGAATTCAAACATGAGGGCACCGTGGCTCAGCAAGCCCCTTTCTGCATGCCTGAGTGTTTGTGTGACATAATTGGATCACACCACACACCAGCCCAATTAGAATGGAGCACAGAGCAGGATGGTATAGAAAATCTTGAAGTATAAAATAAGCCTTCCCCTACCTTTGCTAGGAGAAATCTTAGACAACGCTTTGGGGTGGTAGCTGCCCTTGGTCTTTGTTCCTGTGCTATTCCTCCTTTCTCCTCTGACCCCTCCATACCACCTGCCATCCTGAGCCTCTTCCCCTCCATCTCCCATTTCTTCTACAGGGGGCCTCCCTGGGGGCTGGTAGCCCAAAGCTGCCACTACAGCCGCCATGGGGGATTCAATACCTCACTCCTGGGTACAGGTAAGTAGCCACTTTTTCTTATTCTCCAATCAAGTAGGTCACACACACACTACTACAGACTCCCTAGATGCCTGGTATTTCCACAGGCAACCAAGAACGGAAGCAGGGGGAACAGGAAGCAGAGGATAGGTGAGGTCTACACCTCCCCCTTAACAGCTGCCAGCACCTTCTGACACTGCCTAACATGACTCTCAGATGCTTCCTCCTAAGTCTGTGTGAACTGGATACCAGTTTTTCCCCACACATCTTTCTACCTAACATCGTATAAGGCTTCTTTCTTGTGGGTTGAACTCTGGTGCTTCCCTCTGCCATGCCCTGAGTACTGAAGTTTGGACACAGCGTTAACTGTCCTAGCCTCATAACCCAACAGGTGTTTTGTACATTAATCCTGGCACCCAAACCTTGAAGACTCTCTAACCGTCATTCCCGTTAGCGCTCTAACACACGCTTCGTCTCCCTGCCCACCAGGTCGGCCAGTGAGGATCAGGTCTTGTTACAGGATGGGTCTGGGGAAGAACCTATGCATACGGTTGCTCCAAGGGCCCAGGCTCCACCGGCCCAGTCTTGGTCGGTGGGTGGGAACATAATGAACGCCAGGGTCATTCGAAACATGCAGGAACGCCGCAGCACCAGGCCTTGGTGACCACAGCCAAAGCTTGGCCCTCATAATGGATGCATTCATTCATTCACTCATTCATTCAACAGGCCTGTCAGCTTCAATTCAGATCCTTTGTATCTTATTTTTAACCAGAACAATAAAAGTATTTATTTGTTTTCACTATAGCTGCTGACGAAAAGTGACTTGTCATTACTTAAATTCACGTGCCCCTCATTCTCATTAAACCACATCTGGCCCTACCTCCCCTCATTTTGCTAGGCCTGACAGGAGGCTGCGCAGGCGCCCTGGGAGCGCCCCGCCGGCCAGGCGCAGGCGCACTCCCGCGTAGCGGCGCCTGGATTGCTGCGGGCCCGTTGTGCGCAGGCGCACGGTGTCTCCGTTTCCCTCCCTCAGCCCCGGCCCCCTCCCTCCTTTCCCCTTCACGAAGCCGGCTCCGGGGCGCGCTGTCGGGCGAGGAGACGGGACACGGGAGGCGCCCTCTCACCCCCGGAACACCATGTACCGTCCGAGCCCGGGGGCCGCCCGGCGCCTCGGGCCCTGCCTCCGCGCCTACCAGGTGCGACCCCAGGTGAGGCGGCGGGGGGCGGGGGGCGACCCTCCTCGGAGCCGGGCGAGGGGCGGGGCGCCGGGCCGCGCAGGCGCAGAGGCCCCCGCCGCCCCTTCCCACCCGGGCGCTGCATGCGTGCGGGGCGCGCGTCCGCGGCCCCCGTGAGGTGCGGGAGACGGCGTCCCGGGTGAGGCGCGGCTCCGCGCCCCGGTCCCTGCCGTTCGTTACCTGTGCCTGGAGGTGACTTGAAGGGCAGGGCAGAGAGGCCGGAACTGCGGGCCTGCGCTGCACCTGCACAGCGGTCCTGCCCGCAAGCCTGGCAGCTGCACCGGGTCGGGCTCCGGGGTACGGCGGGCGCACGGCCACGCCCCCGGCGGGGAAGGCTCCCGGAGGGCTCGGCCAGGCCCCGTGGTACCCCTGCCCCCTGGGGTTCCCGGACTCCGAGGGACTTGGAAGCAGGCTTGACCTCGGGTGACCTGCCATCCTTGCAGTAGCAATGTTAGTGCCCGAGAAGTTCACCCTTCAGCAGTCGGCCCGATTGTCATTTAATGGTGCCGAAAATGATAATATATATGTAGTATATAATGATAGTACCTTCTGTTTATGTGCTACTTTATGGGTGACGAAGTTTAATTTACATGCATCATCCTGTATATAGGCCTCTCCTCTACTTACAGGAGGAAACTGAGGTGCAGGGAAAGTGCCAGAGGTTCCAATAGAGTCAACTTAAAATTATTCACACCTTCATCTGGATGTTCTTTGCCCTGCAGAACATGGACACGTGTTACATGTAGATCACATCATTTCTCCCTTGGAGTAATAGACTAGTCCTTCATTTGTTCATGAAAGACATTCTTAGAATTCTTGGTATCAGAGATGCAAAACTGTCCCGGAATAAGGATGGGAATAAGGATGGGATCGTAAGTGGAAAGCTGCTTTTTCTAAAGCTGGGAAAGGCGGCAGTTGTGCAGTCGTCCCCTGTCGCCCTTTCCTAACGTCTTCATTGAAGGTGGAGATGAGTCCATCTCTCTTTCCTCCGGTAAATTCTCTTCTGCAGGTAGGAGCAGGTAGGATTTGAAGCTTCTTAATAGGCCGGCTGGGATGAAGGAGCATTAGCTGATTTTGTTTGTTTTTGTTTTTAAAACTAGGTCTGTGTAGCCCTGGCTGGCCTGGAACCTATCGGCAGCCCTCTCTCAGCCCTTAGTACCACCATGCTTAGATGTCTGATTTTTTTTTTCTTTCTGTTCTCTTTTCCCTAGGACCAGCTCTCTCCTCGGCCTCTACCATTCCCACCCCTCGGGCCCCACTCCACTCCATCGACTTCTCCATCTTTTCCTCTTCACTGGTCACTACCACCCACACATCCTCCTACCCACCCTCTTCCCCAGACTCTCCCACCACCTCTCTCACAGGTCCAGGCTCTCAACTTGAGTACGGTTCTTCCTCTGAGAAAGAGGGAGGAGGGACCAGGACCGGAGCTACACAGTGGTTGCCTGGATGGGCTTAGGAGCCTTTTTGAGGGACCTCCTTGCCCCTGTCCTGGGGCTGTGATACCTTTCCAAGCCCCTGGAACTCCCCATCCTTCCCCCAGCACTCCGTCAGGAGATCAGAGCATGGAGGAACACCTGGCTGTCATGCAGGAGAGATTAAGACAGGAGGTAAGCAGCCCATCTGCAGCAGGAAAATACGGAGACTAGTCAGTTAATTTGTCCTGGTAACATGAGGCAGGCATAGAACTGTGCCGTGAAATACCTTCCTGGGAAAAGGGTGTCCCTGTTAGAATTAAGGACGGTTAAACTGGAAATGACATTTCACTTAGTGCAGGGGGTGGGGTGGGGACGGAGGACGAGTGGAAGTTAGAAGACCCTAAAAATAGATGACTAAGGAGCCAAACTGGTGACACTCAGGAGGGTGAGGGAAGAGGATTCCAAGTTCAAGACCAGATTGGGCTACACACCCTGTCTCAAAAGTAAATAAGTTACATACAGTCTCAAACCGGGTCTTTTCTCTCCCACTGAGTTGATGCCATCTTCTTCCACCTAGCTCCCCACCCTCTTCCTTCGCTCCCATGACTACACCATCTATTCAATGGATGTGGAATTCATCAATGAGATCCTGAACATTCGTACCAAGTGAGAGTTGGGGCGAGGGAGGGAGAAGAGGACCCATGCTAAATAAATACTTGGGCCTTGTCCCAAAGAAGGTTCTAGCTGCTTCCTGAGACTGTTCCCCCGCACCTTGGCAGAAGCGGTTTTGTAGTCCTGACATTCCTGTCCCTTTGATTCTCACAGGGGACGGACATTTTACGTTATGTCCCTGACCTTTTGCCGCTTCCTGGCTTGGAACTATTTTGCACAGTTTCAGTTGGAGATTTTACAGCTGACCCGACACCCTGAGAACTGGACCCTACAAGCCCGCTGGCGTCTCATAGGTCTGCCCATACATATGCTCTTCCTGCGTTTCTACAGGCGTGATAAAGAGGATCTTTACCGGTAAGAGGGAAGGGGCCTGAACTACAGTGGCTTCCCTAATACTGCTTGTTTCCCAGCAGATTTTAACTTATCCTGATTTGCCTGTAGACTTCCTGAGGGTAGAGATTTTTAGTCTATTCTTTTAATAGTTTTTTAAAAAATGTATGTGCATGTGTTTAGTGCACATTACAGCAAGTAAATGAGTGTTCAGAAGATAGCCTGTGAGAATGGGTTCTCTCCTCCACCATGTACGTCCTGGGAGTTGAACTCAGGTCCTCAGGCTTGCCTGCACCTACCTGTACACAGCCATCTCAGTGGCCCAGCCTGCTTTTCATAAAATTAGTGGAGTTTTGTGTCTCTTAAGAAATCATCCCTGACTTTAAGTTTCTTCTTATGTTACTTGGACCTGACAAGTGGTAAGTACTTAGTTACTGAACAAATAACATCCTGGAGGATCAGGAGCTAAAGGCTAGCCTGAGCTACGTGAAACCACCTCAGAAACAAAATATGTCCTGAACTTAACTCTAAGTAAAGTGTGTGGTTAAGTACTTTAGGTTAAGTACGTGGCTAGTACATCCTCAAAATTATTAGGCTCAAGCCTCTAACATTGTACTTAAGCATTTGAGTGACTGACGTCTAGGCTGGTGAGATGGCTCACTGGGTAAGTAAAAGCACTTGTCTCCAAGCACGACAGCCTGGGACCCATGTGATGGAGGAGAGGACTGTTCATTGTCTGCTGTTGTGGCACATGCACTTACCCACCCACAGTAGTAAAACAGGTTGTGGTTCAACAAATTTGAGGCCTTCTGTACAAATGACACTCTGGTTTCGTTGTTCTTTTTTTTTTTTTTTTTTTCTTTTTTTTTCTGAGACAGGATTTCTCTGTGTAGTCCTGGCTGTCCTGGAACTCACTCTGTAGACCAGGCTGGCCTTGAACTCAGAAATCCGCCTGTCTCTGCCTCCCAAGTGCTAGGATTAAAGGCGTGCGCCACCACCGCCCGGCTAGTTTTGTTGTTCTTAATACAACCTGAGCATTAGGAGTTTTAAGTTCCTGGCGGCTGCGTCCAGCAGTGTGACCTGATGGTCCTAGTGTTGAGTACAGTGGTGTGACCACGATGGTCCTGGTGTTGAGGCTGAGAGTGGGAAGTTAGCCTGGGCTACATACTGAGATCCTGTCTCAAATGAAGCCTAACACGTGGCAGACTTCAGGAACTCGTTTTAGCAAATACTTGATTCTGGACAGCTTACCTCCCTCAGAATGCCTCGCCTCTCCCTTTTCCAGGACCTTTGATGCCTTTTCCACTTTCTACCTGAATTCCAGTGGCCTCATCTGTCGCCATCACCTGGACAAGGTGAGTGTTGGGCCTGGGTTGGGAGGGGTGAAGGGTAGAACGTTGTCTGTGTTCCTCCCCAGCCTCCATTAACCTGTCTCTGCAGCTGATGCCTTCACACTCACCGTCAACGCCTGTGAAAAAGCTGCTGGTGGGAGCCCTGGTGGCCCTGGGGCTGTCGGAACCAGAGCCCAGCTTAGACCTGTGCTCCAAGGCCTGATCCAGGCTTGGGTGAAGGCTGCACTGAAGACTGCTACGCACAAAAGGAGGTGGAGGTGGATGAGAATGTCCAGAGCCAGCCGCCACCCTCCATTCTCCTTCCCATCATGCTTTGTAAAGCTGCTGTGTAATTTAACTTGTAAATAATAAAGTTTAAGCACCGACATAAGGCGGAGTTTCACGTTGCTTTCTCTGGGTCCTAAAGTTCCCACACACTTCATTCCAAAAATAATTTTATTTCCTAGATATTAAATAAAAGGATGGAAGGAAACAAGCTGCAAGGCTCAGTCCACATCACTCTCTAGCCCAGCTCATCCCGTGTCTTGCCGACTTTTTTGGGCATTTTCTTAGCATGGGGGTCTTCTAGCTCCTTGGCTTTATAGTAGTGGGGAGCCACTTCCAAAAGCCAGCTGCTTTCAATCTCCAGTACCTGTGAGAGGGAGCAGAAATCACTAGGGTTCCTTTACTTCCAAATCAGAACCTTAATTGTGTGGTCAAAAGGATCCTCTCTCCCCACTGACTCAGGGCAAGGAAAAGACACTTGGCTGCTTCTCGATAACAGGGCAGGCCAACCCTGATATGTGCTTATCAGGTAAGTGAGCCT